GATTTGATCAAATATAGAAGATCTGCGAGAGCAAGAAGACAAAATATATATATCCTTCAATTACTCATTACTCAATTTGATGCTTTTTAATATATTAATTACTTTAATACTTCAGTAAATTATAATTAAATTAAATAAAAATCTACCTAATCTATTTTCCAAATTTATAAAAATATTATTCCTCTTTTGGCATAAACACAGCATATCTGTACCATCATGTGTATCATTTCTACTCTCTTTATATGATTTGTTGCTTATATTGATTGTACAATCTAAATCCATTGGTTCATTTTTATCAAACTTGTTCAAATCTGTTTCTATCTTCTTATTGTCCAGCATTTCGTTAGTGCTCTCGACTTCTAAGTTTGATGAGGTAAATAAGTTACTATCTGTATCATTAACACAATCGCCTTCAGCAAATGAACTACTATGTGGAATAATAGATTTCCTAAAATACTTCTTATAGTTACTTTCTTTCATCAGTACTGAATTATCATCCAATTTATTATCAGATTTTTTCGTGCGATCTCGTTGACTCCGCCTAAAAAATTCATTCAGAAAAAATTATTTTATACAACAAAAAGGCCCGAAAGATTATAGATTTAATTTAAAAGAGGAGCATTTACGTAAAGAAAGCAGGACAACCAAATCATTATAGATTAAAAGTACAGCGTTGGCGTTAAAAAGTATAGTAAATAAAATGTAAATATATGCCCGATAACAATATTGACAAGCTGCAAAATGCAGTAAGTACCAAACAACCCAAAATTAAAAATGAAAATAACCAATGAACTAAGATTAGTGATGGAAAATATAAAAAAGATATATGTACAAATATAATGCAATAAAATGATGGAACATAAGAAATATAGTAGATACAATGATTTAATGTAAAAATATTGTATATATATTTTTTTTATAAACAAAATAAAGTATAGAAGAAAGTCATGAAGAAGTAAAGTGTGATTGCAGATGGAATTGAAAGATTTGGGTAGAGATTTAAGTAGTAACTAATGAATTATGAATATTATACTTTGAATATAATAATTGATTCCCAAAAAGAAAATCAGGTAAACTATAGATCACGCTTCAAAAACCAACTGGCCATCAGTTCAATATTTCAAGTATGTGATTGAACTATTGAAAAATTGGAAATCAAGTCAAAAAACAAAACATGTCAACAAAAAATCAGCATAGTTTTATAAATGTTAATAGAAAAAGAATAAAATAAAAAATTAAAATCTTATATAAATATAAAATACTAATTTTATTTAGTTTATAATTTGAGAAAAATACTTAACTGATTGATATTTATATAGTTTGAAATAATTATAAAATTAAATTATGAAATAATAGAATATGATATAATAATGTAATTAATACACTAGCATTTGTTTTTGATTTTACAAGATTATTGACAGAAACTATCATAAAATATTTAATAAATTAAAGATTTTATTTCTTCTTAATTTCAAAATGGAATTAAATATTTAGTTGAACATAAAAATAACAAATAGGGCAATAATTCATATAGTTAGCATAAAAATTTAAGTTTTTTAATAACATTACCTTAGGTTTCTATCAGTTGGACTTATACTGCTATTTCCAGTATCCATCAAAATTTGAGTGTTTTCATATTTTGCAAAATCATCTTCACTTTTATCTACAGCCCTTAAGCCTAATATGCTCAAATGTTTCTCCTGCATTTGTTTTAGATTATTTTTGTTATTGAGAATTTCATTATCTTCAGAACCTGAACTTATTACAGACTCAATTCCAGAATCAGATTTTGCCTTACTAATTCGTTCATTTTCTTTGAATTTTAATTTGCAAATATCATTATTTAATGATCTAGCATCATTTTGCATCTCAATTCCCAAACGTAATTCTTTATTAGCTAATATTTTAGCTGTAGGTTTAATTCTTCTTGAGAGCCGGGGTTGTGGATTTGAAGATTCGTATGATTTTTCTTTTCTTGCTATAGCATTTGCTAAAACACTATCACTGTATTCTTTTGATCTGCGCCTTGGAGATCTTTTAATATTTGATGCATCAACATCTAAAAAAAAATTATTCACAACTTTGTGAATATATTATTGTGATAACTTAATAAACTTTTATCCTGAAGCTTAATAATAGGACAAGAAAAAACACATTCTAATGCAAAGAAAAAGGTAAACACAAAATTGTAGACTTAGATGGATCCCAAAACATTACTGAAAACAACACATATAGCTTTAATTATGGATTTTTAATTCAATTAAAATATAAATTGGAATATTCAAAGTTAAAATAATTTATGATTAGCTGGAATTCAATTCTAGGACCTGGATTCACATTGAATGTTGCCTGCACATTTAATTATTGAGGTACAGGAAAATATATTAAGGCAATAAGATAATTACCATTAAATTGTTTTAGGATATATATATATATATATATATATATATATGTATATGTATAAAATATAATATAATATATAGTGATATTTGTATATTGAATCTATACATAAAAAGGACACCAACAGAAATAATTTCAGTAATTAGATTATATAAAAAATCATTGCAAATTAAAATGTAAAAAACAGAAATAAATGAATAGAATCAGTAATGTAATGATCTGACAAATTGTAATTTATTTGAATCCTATTAAAGTTCTATAAAGTATTGATTTTGTAATTCATAATTCTTCGCTAATATGTATTATAACTATTACATATAACCAGACAATTTTTAATATTTAGAAAACAACATTATTCACTGTAATTATCATGCAAACCTTTTATCACTTCTGGTGCAGAAGTCTTGAGCCTCAAAGAACGTCGTCCTGGTGAAACAGACTCCTTAACATCCCTGGTATCTTCCATTTTATTCGTTTTTTCAACTAAGCCAGCATTTGTATCACAAAATTTATCTTTGTCCTCTTTATTTTTCAACTCCTTTGATAATATATTTGAAGATTCACTCTCACAATCAATTGCAGAAGTCGTCGTGCTATTAATATCATTATCTGCTGCTTGAACATCTTGCATTTTAAAAGATTGCACAATTTGTGAAGTCACTTTTAAACGTTTGACACTTTCAACTTCACAGCTTTTTGTTCTTTTCTGAACTTTCATTTTATCTTGAACTTTTAAATCACTAATCTTCTTAACAGTATCACCTTTCTCTTCCTTTTCGTCTACTTTTTGTGGTTTAGGAACGACTTTTACAATTTTATCCTTGACAATTTTACCAGAAACATCTTCCGTGCAATTTGCTGTTGATTTATTGAAATTTGATTTCATTTCAACAAGCAGTTTGCCAATGAAATTATCTTCGATAACACCACTCATCTTGGAGCGTGAATGTTAAATCTGGTAGACTTTTATATTTACATTAGATATTTAATCACACATGCAAGCACATGATTCGTTTTTAGGTATTTGTCCATTTTATTGTGTGTATGGTGCATATTTCTTTAGAGAAAATGTTGTGAGACATATTCTCCTCTATTTTAATTTTTATATACATCGAAATATGCTATTGACAAAAACTGAAAGTTTACTCATTTGATGGGAGATAGGAGATAGCTGCTTGAATATTAGGTTAAAACAGCAATAGTGACTTTTGTCAAGAAGTGGGTCGTGGTTGATCGGGTTGCCGAGGAAGGCATGCTACCCACACATATGCTTAATATTAAAATCTATATAAAATCGTAAATTAAAAAGTATTTGCATTTGTCTTATATGACATGAAATACTTATGTCATATGTCGATAAACATTTCATACAAACTTATAATAAAGGGATAATATAATTATATAAAATAATTGTGCATTATTATATTTTGATTATGCGATTATGCCTAAAGATTATCAGTTTTGATTAAATATGTTGCATTGAATTTTAGATAATCATATCAGTAATCTATGAAAAATTATGGATTCTGTTTATTTAGCATGTAACTTGTACATTTTTTTCTAATTTTAATACACCCAAAATAATGAATATATTATATTATCATATTGCCTTAATATTTTTATACAATTTATAAATCTATATTATTATAGATATTGTTAGAATGGAAACAAAATGAAGATATGAGCACTTTGAATACTGATAAAATCAATAAATGTGAGAAGAAAAAAATGATGGTTAATTAAAAATGAAGGGATTGAATAATAATCGTGAATGTTTAAATTATATAAAAATATCCATCATTATCCCTTTATCTATATGAATTCGTTTCTTATACATGCTATATGTTTTTATGTTTTAGTATAGTGTCTAGCCTTGTTAGAGAAAGTTGATCTGTATTTAAACAGTAATTACTATTAATATTAATAAATTATAATTAATATTTTATTGTGTAGTAATAATTATATTTTTAATAAATTTACAGACCCTAGACAATATACTAATTGTTTACAGACCTTGGTCTCAAATGTACAGACGTTTCATGAAATAAAGTTTGTGATCCATGAAAAATTTGAAATGATATTGTTTTCTTCGTGTTACAATTGTATTAGACGCATTTGTTATATTTCTATTATTTTTGTATGAATTCTGCGATCTGTTAATGTAGTACACACAATGAGCAGAGATTGTTTGTTTTTATATTGCATTTTATTTTTTTTAATGTAACGTATCCATATACTAAGTCAATTGTAGGCAATTAGCAATATACATGAATGGGATAACTTTTTGATTATTTTGTTAACGTTATTTGTGGAACAAATATCAAAAAGTTTATGATAAATTTAATATTGAAAAAAGAATTGTATAATCAACACTTTTTTTTAAATATTCTCTCAGTGTATTTAAATCAATATATTTTAAAATATTAATTAATATTTTACTTTAAAGCAACCCCATACGCCAATTAAAAAAAAAAAAATCTATTGAACATTCAAATTATTGATACGTTCTACAATAAAAGTCACTAGTATGCGTTATCGCTAACTCTTAAGACAGAAGATGAAGAAGCCTTGCAGTCTCTGATTAGGGTTACCTCAATTCATCCATTTTTATGTTGATTCGTTGATTCGGTTATTGTTTGACGTGGGATGGATTGTTGGATATCGGTTATAGGTTATAGATAAACAATTAGATAGCCGAGGTTTACACGTTGCACGTATGTTTTTGAAAGTCCCTGAATCGATCAAATAGTTTATCAAAAATGAAACAATTGCTTCAAAATCGAAATGTCATTTGTGGACTGTATTTAGTTTTTTATGTCTTTTGCGCTAATAGTATGTCAAATGACGAAGGCTCATGTCAGTCCTACGCAGGAGGAACTGTTTATCCTCAAGGAACAGATAAATCTGATCACAAACTACAGTGGACGAAAGCTGTTAGTAAGTAGTTTGTAAAAACTTGTAAACATATTATATGTAAACTGTACTAAATTTTAAAATATTATATTGCCAGTAATATTATTTTCATAAACACATCGTAGCTTTTATTGGCAGTTGTAGCAGCGATATTAATTGAAAAATAATGACATTTTATTTTTGAAAAATTTTAAAACAGTTGCAAGATATATTGCGCTGTATATCTTTTAAGATTTGTACTTAGTAAATGTACAATATATTCAAAAGAAATTTAAGATAATATAATTGTAGAACAAAGTATTAATTACATGATTTCATCATATGCTCAATAAGAATCCAACAAAATTTAATTCATAGATTTATAAGTAGAATGTATTTAGGAAAAATTAACTAATTTTTTAAAAGATCTTTTTCTATTTAAGTTTTCACTTATTTTAATATTTGACCCTCCTATTTGTTTACTCCATGTATCTATCATGTTTCTGTTTTATAATATTAAAATACCTAACTCAATTCTTTTGCTGAGCTCATATTAACATTTAAAACTATGTATAATAGTTTCTAGGCCAGCGCCACAATGGCAAGGAACCGCGGTAGTGAATGGTGAATTCATAGAACTATCACTAAAAGATTTTGAAGGAAAATATTTAGTATTTTTCTTCTATCCAATGGATTTGTGAGTATTGGCACACTTGGTCTACTGTTATGTTATAAGCCATACCATGGGCATTTAAAACATGACCTAACATCTTTTTTTTAGCACATTTGTATGCCCCACTGAAATTCTTGCATTTTCTGACCGAATTGATGAATTCCGTGAAATAAATACAGAAGTCGTAGCATGTTCAGTCGACTCTCATTTTACACATTTGGCATGGATGAACTCACCACGAAAAGAAGGTGGTCTTGGAAAAATAAGAATTCCATTATTATCAGATCTTACTCACACAATTTCAAAAGATTATGGCGTATATTTGGAAGATTTAGGCCACACTCTTCGGTAATTTTACTTAATTTGTAATATTTATAGCCCCATATAAACATGTATTTTTTCATTTAGAGGACTTTTTATAATTGACCAAAGGGGAATTTTAAGACAAATTACTATGAATGATTTACCTGTTGGGCGTTCAGTTGATGAAACCTTAAGGCTTGTACAGGCATTCCAGTTTACTGATCTGCATGGTGAAGTTTGTCCTGTAAACTGGAAACCAGGCCAAGATACGGTAAACATAATTTATCTGTTGTTTCTACAAAATAATGCAAATATGGTTAGCAACAAAATATGCTATTACAAATAATAATTAATTTTTCTCCATTTACAAGCTTATTACAAAATATAAATAGTAGTCTTCACAATTTTTTTTACTAAATTTCATTATAAAAACAAATTATGATTTCAGAAAAATATTTTTAATATTTTGTTTATCTATTTTCTTTACTAGAGTTCATAGAGAAACATAGAAAAAAAAAGTAAACAATGTGTAATGTGATAAGAATATATATAATGTTTTACTTTTTTTTTTTGCAGATAATTCCAAATCCTATTGAAAAGAAGAAATATTTCGAAAAGGCTGACTCTAAGACAGGTTCATCATAGTTTATAGTTTGAAATACAATTTTAAATAAAAGCTGGTTTATAATAAATTTGATATTTTATTAAAAATTATGACAAGTCTCATTCTTTCGTTTTTATTTTGGAAGATTTAGGGCTGGACAAGGTAATCAGTGAAACCCTTCTTGGCGTTTTAACTGTTACTGGCTTATCATCTTTTGTGACTGAATCCTTCTTTAAAGGTGCTGTTTCTTTTATGTCATCTTTAATATCAGTTTTCTGTGTAGGATCATTATGTGAGTCTTTTTCACTTTCAATGTCTGCACAGATTTGTTTCTGTTGCTGAGTTGATGGAACTATATCCTCTCCATCAATTTGTGAATCTTCAATTACTAATCTTATTTCATCTTGTGATTCATCATTCAATGCTTCAGTACCTTCTGTGCAATCCATTGCAGATTCATCAAGTACATGTAAATTAATTTTTGCGCTTTTTTCGGTTTCTTTGTTATTATTTTCTGAATTCTTTTCAACTTTGTAGATCTCACCTAGCTCATCACTTGAAAATGTTATAATAGAGCAGAAACCATCTGTACTAGAAACAGCCAAAATTTTTCCATCACTAGACCAAGATATGTCAGTTAACCTTGTGTAATGAATATTTGAAATCACAGCAAAAGGTGTTGATTGTTCTGTATCATATAATATGACTGAGCTGCGAGTGGCAACCGCTATAATCATACGATAAGGTAAAGGTATAACTGGAGTTTTGTGACGTAAACAAAATAATAAAGGACAGAACTTTGCAGCTATAGAATATTCTTTCGAGGGTAGGGTGACGATAGGTCTGAAAAAGAAATAATTTAAAAATGTAAGTGTTAATTGGTTCATATAATTATTATTTTAACAAGTATAATTTAAAACTTGATATTTTTGATTTTTCCTGTTTTTAAAAGTAGAATATCCAAAGAACCTTTTAGCATAGTTTGATATTTTATGGAAATAAAATCAAAGTGTGCCAAAATAAAACCAAATATTTATACTGGTATGAAATTAAAATTGAAGACTCGAAATCAAAATAAACATTGATCAATTTCCACCTAAGTACATACTCTCAAATAATATTTAAGATATATTTAAATAAATTTGATATACACCTATCATAATTATGATTCTAAAAAACATACATTTTTAAGGAGAATCTGCTATATATGTAGGTAGTATTAAGAACTTTCCCTCCTTCTTTTTCTATTGCACCGGAAGGTACAACCAGAAGTAAACCGTCTGGTGAAAAACATAATCTTCTAAAAAAACTTTGTAGAGTGTCATCATGATAAATTCTTGGACACATATTATTCTCACCCTCAGCTTTACCTAAAATTTTATATATATATATATATATATATATATATATATATATATATATTTAATACATACAATTATTGGAAAATAGTAAAAAACATGACTTAATATTAACTATTAGTTTAATGACAATTTTTTTTCAAATTTCCAAGTAAGTGAGTGATCTAAGAAATAACATGTTATTGAATAAACTATTTCATTTCTGGCAAGGATCATATCTACTTTGACTAGAACTAAGAAATTAAGAATGAAATATGTGAATGATAATTACCCTTAGAACTTCGACTAACAACCTTCTTTGTTTTAATATCATACACTCTACATGTTCGATCACTACTCATTGTCGCTACATATTTGTTATCAGGATCCCAAGCAACACCCTGTACAAAATTTTTTTGATCATCCAATATTCCTAATGATTTCCCTTTGTTTAAATCCCACAAAATTGCAGTATTATCAACTGATCCACTTATAAGAAATAATGAATCTGGAGACCAGCAAATATCATACACATCTTGAAGATGTCCTCTCAAAACCTAGTAAAGAATTTAATTAAACAAATTCAGGGTTTTCTAAGATAAGAACAGCTTAAATCTCTATATTTTGAGAATATATTCTTAAAATGTTTAGAACATCACATATAAATAAAACATAACATTAAGAGATAGAAACCTTAATAGAAGACCAAATCTCTTTATCAGCTTCGTTATCTTCTTCTAAAGAAGGTGGATCTGCATCAGTTCTCTGTTTCCAAATCATAATTATATTATCATCATCACCAGATGCGAGATATTCCCCAGATGGACTCCATCTCACTACATTAACTGCTTTCTCATGTCTAGTAAGATCAGCTGCTATTTCAACAGTTGCCAAACCATCAACGGTTGTTTGAATATACCATATCTAAACAATTATGATAATGTGTCATATTAAAGTTATAATAAATCTCACAATTGATGTAATGCATATTGTGTCAAAACTAATTGCTTACAAACTCTGAAACTCTAAAATCTAATTAATTTAATCAGTTTGTTAATTTTTTTAATAATGCCTGTGCAGTACTGTAAATTATTTTGATGCTTCAGAGATTGGAAAGGGTAATAAAATATATTTGTACATTTGATTTTGCTTATTTATATGTAATTGTTAAATTATTAGGACTTTAAATTTTATATATTAACATAATAAGTGCATCTAAATACCCAGCACCTGTCCTATTTACTAAGCAATATAATTAGGAATATATATATATTTTGCTTTTCTCATTCCTAGAAACAAACTTAATACCAGAACATGAGAGTCGGTTCCACCAGTAGCCAATCTTTTAAATTCATTATTCGCGATGGTTGGCTGTAAATCAATTGATAAAACAGGATCGCGATTATGCCATGAAATTTCCGGGATTGTGCACTTCATTATTATTTCATTTAAAACTAATTAATAAAATGTTAAAAACTTAAACGAAGGTTAAACAATAATAACAAAGTTCGCGGTTTATTTTTGACATTTCCGTGGTGTTGCCTGATACAATACCAATAGATTTGCGCATGGAAGTAAAAAATAGGGATTTTTACGCTGCTCTGTTAACACTCTTAATTGTTAATCTTTTATTATAATCAGTCACTACTAAAAATATTGACAGTCTTTTGACATATTGTGACTATATTTAGAAATAAATCGAATATTTTTTTTAACTAGTTTTATCATTTACGACAATCTCCACGTTTGAGCAATAAGTAAAATGTGCTATTAAACTATCTTCACTAATTTCTTAATACCATGATTTTTTTGGGGTCATTTCCATGAATGTGATACTAGAAATTAAAAGTGTTTTACATATTAAATAATATACAAATTATTTTATCCATTGAAAATACATAGAGAAAATTATTAGAATAATTAAAATGTGTGGAGGATTCACGTGTTCAAAAAATGCCCTTACGGCGCTAAATATATTATACATTGTAAGTTAATAATCAACATTTTTGCCTATGTGGACAAAATTATAAACAATGTGCTATTTAGAATTTACTGTAACTTTAGTTTTATAAACGTTTATTGTTATAGATCGTTTCATTTATTTTAATTGGCGTAGCAGCATACGGCCAGGCAGCTAGTGTTGTTATGAATTTGCCGATTATTGGAGGAATATTGGCTTGTGGGATATTATTAATAATGATATCTATATTGGGATTAGTAGGAGCAGTAAAACATCATCAAGTCATGCTATTTTTTGTATCCTTTTAATGATGAACACATATATAAACATTTTGTACAACTATAATGTTGACCTTAATGCTGTTTAGTATATGGTAATATTATTCCTGCTATTTCTAATACAATTCTCAATCGCATGTGCTGCATTAGCTGTTAATTCGACTCAACAGGAAAGATTAGCAGAACAGGTATATTATACCTCACTACTATATTGAACAGTATTTTGAATGTATTCGTAATTTTATTTATGTTTATATTTCAGGGCTGGAATAGATCTGAAACTGTAAGACAAACTGTACAGAAATCATTTTCATGTTGCGGTTTTGATAGCCATTCAAACACAACCTCTTGCAATCCTATTGAGGTAGCAAAAATTAACATATGTTTTATAAAAGTATTTATTCTCAAATAATCACTTTAACATTTAGCTGGGATGTTGTCCACATGGATCTGGATCAGACTGCCATTGTGAACCGTGTTTATATAAAATTCAATCTACCATGGATCATGCATTTAAACTTTGTGGAGGAATAGGATTATTTTTCAGTTTCACTGAGGTATAGTGTTGAGAAAAATTTAATATTATATAACTTTTTTTTAATAATAATTACATTGTTATAATGGATTTCAGTAATTCAAATGCAAAAGCTTTTAAAATTATTAGTATTTATCTATTCAAACTCTACTATTTAATAATTTCATATATTAAATAATTCTAGTTGTATATAACTATAAACTTATTTTTATATTGATTGAAGCTTTAAATAATATTTAATATGTTTTTCATTTCATTCTAAAATCTTATAAGCTATTTGTTAATTTACTTATTAATATATACATATAAATTAGCTACTAACAAATAATGCTTATGAATTTGCAGTTTGTTGGGGTCTGGTTAACAGTGCGTTATCGCAATCAAAAAGATCCTCGTGCTAATCCTAGTGCTTTTCTATAATTAATTTTCATATGCTTGTAATATACTTCACAATGGGTTGGTGAAATAGTAATACATTTTCATAATAATATACGTATAGTATGTAACAAGCCAATTGCATGTTATATGTAAATTATCACTCATTTTGCACTAAACATATTTACTGTGGAAAAGGGTTAATTAAACTTTATAATTATCATTTTTTAAAATATATTTTCAATTATTTGAAATATTATATATGTATATCAATATAACTTTATTCATCGATGATACATTAAAAGGAGCTCAATATTTTAGTTTTGCTACAACATCATTTAATGAAGTTAATGTAACTAAAGTCCTGCCACTCATGACATACTTATATACATATATGTAACTAATAAATTATATTTTAATCTAAATTGTTGGGTTACGATGACAGTTTGGTAGAAATGCTTTCAGCTGTCTAATCATTATCTCGTTTTTTCTTACCAGAAAATGTGTGTGCAATGACATAATCTTGAAGTTAATACATAATTAAGAAAGACTTTCTATCAATAATGCTTAATTATTTTAACTTTTTCAAATAGTTAAGTAGTTCTAATAATTCAATAAAACATTTATATTTCCATTATATATTATAAGTATAAATGTTCAACAGTTGCATGATATGTTCTTATTTTGTGAGAATAATGGGTACCACTAATTATTTCTGTAAGGCTTTTCTTCAAATCTCTATTTAACTCAATTATGCATGGCATATGGACATCATATTGCAATATGTACCATGGTACATATTGTTTAATTAATATGGTATTTGTGGTTTATTTTGAGTGCAATATTAAGTATAGTGAAGAAGGAGTATTTTCTTAGGTGTTAGCTGTTATCATCACACATCGCTACAGGAACCAATGTGATCCATTAGAAAAACAGGCACATGCTATATTTCCCAGGCATAATTATTTATACTGACAATGAGATTATAAATTATTTAGTAGTCTTTAAATCAATTTCCAAAGATTTTGGTTTAGTAAATTGATCAAATATCACAACTAGCTTTTAAGTTTTTTTTACAAACTAAATATAATTTAGCTCTCTTTAAATTATTGTAGGTAATAAATTTTTTGCACTATTAGTCAGTGTGAAATTATAATGTTCTGAGATAATGTGACTTGCTTTATGAGTGATTTGAATATTAAAGCAAATTTTGTAATGTGCATTTATATATTTTTCTTGATGAGATTAATAGGCTTATAAGTTTTGTTTAGAAATTATGCAATTCAATTCACTGTTCATACAATAGAAAATTTATAAACGGATAGATCTCGATGAATCTGTAGATTTCTGATTGATCAGTATGCAAAGCAGATTCAAATGTAAATTATGAACTGTAAATAGATTAAGTAGATTTTTACAAAGTGATTATATCAATATCAATGTATACAAGCGAGATTTTGTGTTATCAGTTATTAAATCAATGAGTTAAAAATTCAAATTATATTATAATTTTGTGGCAATTCAGGCCACGAAGGAAAAAAGTAATTGAATCCTAGAACAATTACACACACACACACACACACATATATATATATATATATATATATATGCATACATTATAAACAGCTGTTCCATACGTTAATAGTGCGACTAATTAATATCTACAAGCAGTCTGCTCCACCATGTATTTTGCTGAAGATTATATTTGTTGGAAGAATTAAAACAAATGGTTTTGATATTTATTCTTAACTTTTGTTTCGTATACTAAAATGGAGCTTACTCAACTAATTTCAGAATACTGTTTAACATTGGAGAAGAGATTTGAAGACATCCTATATCAAGCATCTTTACAGCCATCAGGCAGCTATAAAATATTTATTTAATATATTACAGAATTTTTTAGACTCTTTATAATATATAGTATTCAATGTAATAAAATTTCTTCACCAATTTAAATGTGTACCGGTGTATGTTTTTATAAATGCATTTTATACATGTATTTAACATATTAGAGAATTACTTGCCTTTTAGTTAAGTTAAAATTATACTAGAGTATTTAGCTCATTGATTTAATATGAAATATATATATATATATATATATATATATATATATATATATTCACCACACTAGCTGAAAATGTTTAATTTATTAACTAAATTATAATTATTAAAAACTAATAAGTTTTGTGACTGACATCTGTAATAAATAGTAGAATAAAATTTCTTATAATTTCGTGTAAAACTTCTTATAATTTTATATGTATACAAATTTCATACATACAAATATTTGAACATAATATAACTTATTACTAATATAATTATATATAACATATAACTAATAAAATGAAAATAGAAGAAAATAATATAATGCATAACATCAAGTCCAGCTTTTGGAACAAATAGTACATATGCTAATTCTATTGGAGTACACTGGTATGTACAGTATGTACATAACAAAATATATTTTGTGACTACATAATTCTATATAAATAAATATTACTATCAAAAACTAGAAATCAAGGTTTACTGTACCTCCCGCGATACTTATCTGGTGGATCACAGCATTCTGTCATTATCAATTTACACAAAAATACATGGAAGATAATTATTAGAAAACATATCGATACCCAAAACAGTGTAGGCAGACCCCCTAATCTATGGCCATGTTTGTGTAAAGCAATCACATGATGTTCATGAGCAGGCGCCTCATTGACTTCTTTTACATGAATAGCATGTTTCAAATCTTCCATATGTTGTTTGTCAGAAGTTATATATAAAATTGCAGTCAAAGGTTCAGTCAGCTTAACTGGGAATAGTTTCTTTGTAGGACCTAATTGAATGGGATCGTCCATGCAACCACCATCACAAGCATAATAATTTCTATCAGCTCTATCGACGGCTACATAAAGTACAGCTTTATTGTCATCTCTTACTACTACACTAATATTTAAGTGAGTTAAATTACCATAATTCAATTTTCGAAAATGGTAATCACGATGCAAATATTTTGGATGTATATTGAATTCTAAATGTTGATTACTAAAGCGAAGGCCACCAAAACTAAGAACCATGGCTTGGCTAATCCCACTGGCACCTGCTTTAACAAGATTATGACAGCCTTGTTTTTCTAGAGTGAGTAACCAAGATTTAACCACTGTGTTAACATTTTCCAAAGTATTTAAATCTTTCCATAAATTATCAGCTTGCAAGGTATGGTATCCTTCGTAACACCCCTCTGTATAACTCAATGATTTAGAAATTTCATTCTTTTGTATTTGACTAATATGTTCTTCAAACTCATATGAACGAGTTTGGGACAAAACATAGTACATCGTAGCATTTATCTGATCTCCATTAATAGAATTTTCTGCTTTTGAATCACTAATTGTAAACCCAGTAGACCACAAATGCTGCCAAACCTGCATATGTTGACCTCTAAAAGCTTGTGATATTTCTTTGCCTTCGTGTTGAGCTTTCTTCAGAGCATTTTTCATTGCATCTATTGCTTTGCGTTCCACAACATCTTTCATCAAAGAATAATCTTGTAACAAAATAGGTTCTGAATATTCAATGGTCATTAAGAGCTCAATATTTGTGGATGACCTTTTCTTCAGTATGAGTGTAGGTAACAATTTTCTGCAAACTACACTAACAGCAATGATGCGCTCCTCATTTGGTAGTTGTACAAATCCTGTTGTAGCTTGATAATCCAAGATAGAAGAACCATGCTGTAGTTTAACCTGCTGTGTTGTGGCCGTAGGCCAGTTTGAAATATGAGCTAACACTAAATCTACTTCATATAATAAATTTGTTGGATTAGTAAATTTAATGTCTTGAACAAAAACCTGAGGTAAAGTTCGATGAGCATAATATTCATGTGATATGTAATAGCCGCTCTGAAAACAATGGTATTTGTGAATGATACCTTTTTTATATTCAACAACTGTAGCTTCGAGGCTATTTCCATTTGCAGCAGATGCATAAACCAATGGGTGATAAAATATGGGAAGATTTAGTGATCTGCCCAATTTTATATTTATATGACCTATGTCAGATATCTCCAATCCAAAGAAACCGTTACCAGCATATGGTATAAAATCTTTTTCATTTATTTGCAGAGGTTTATGTCTGATATTCACATCATATTCGGCACTCTTGAAATTGTATGCTGCTAATCTATCTGATATACAACGATATTCATAATTTTCTAGAGGCTTAGAACTCGATAGCAACCATCTGAAGGCTGATGGTGCCATATATAAAAGCATTAGAATAAACAGTATTAAAACTATGAGGAAACGACGATATGAGGAATAGCTATCGAAGTTCCTCTTCAGACGCCGCGCTATATCTGATAAATCCATATTGCTTCTTTTCAAAAACATTTATCATAAGAATATTTTAACATCATTCACATCAACTTTCACCTTCTAATCATATGTTGAAAATTTTTGATAACACATGTAGGAATACTTTTTCCATTTTGTGGTTTCATACGATACTCTGGATTTTAAATCAGTGTTAAGAATTATAGTTTTCATAACTTTGTTACATTTTTAGTCTAAAATATGTTTTGATTGGAAAAAAAATCAACCAAAATAGTCACAAGATCTTTGACATCCCACGTGAAATGTATCGACATCAATATTGAAATAATTCACAAACACATAACAAATTTGATGACTGTAGATATTCGAAGTGATTTAATAAATCCTGTTTGTTGATTTTAAAAAAAGGTTAACATTTTGACTTTTTAGAGCTCATGATATAAATATGATGGACTCTATAACCGGCATTGTGATAATAACTAAAAAATAATTATATTATTAAATATATTAACTATATATTAACATTGAACTATTTATACTATAGAAATAGGGAAATACGTTTGACATATAGCAATTCTTTATTATTTTTTATTCAAAGACAAAGAATTTCTATTCCCGAATTCCCGTAGGACAATATGTCAAAATATGTCAAAATCCACATGTGGCTTAAAATGACAAAACACATGTAACTGTCAAAACACAGAATTCACAGACTTATTAAAGAAATTTTTAATATTTATTAATTATTATTAACATTTTGCCTGCATTTGTGATATAATTAATATACAAATTATAATGCCAGTGTATAAAAAATAAATATGGATAAAGATAAAAGTAATGATAATGAGCTGAAGAGTGAAAGCATTGATAGCCTTACAGATGTAACATCTAGTTCAACTACAACAAGTGTTTGTGATTCTAGAGATTCTTCTCAGAGCACCCCTGAACGATACACATCCATAAATAAATATGAGTTCGTATTTTATTATTTTAATAGTTAATATTTACAACAATAATCTTTATAACCTCGTTTACAGAGAACAGTGGCACAAAATCTATGATTTTTATGATGATAATTGGACAGAACTCAGAAGAAAAGCAGTTGTAGGCCGGCTTAGATCTTCTCGGTAACTATTTGCTTTATACTGAACAGCTTTCTAAAAACTAGTTGCATGTTCCATCTTATAATAGAAGTTCTTTTTGTTGGAATCTTGATATATGAATTATTTTTTTACTATCGTTGATTTCTATTGTATGGCCAATTCATTGTCAGTAATGAGACTAAGATGTTTACACATCAAATTATTAAAAAAATTTTTCAGTGTTGAATCGATAACTATATTTAATAATTGTCAGCTGTTGATAGTTTTTTCTTTTTGTAGTTTGATGATTGATATTTATAAGAATTTCATATTTATTTACACGAAGAAAGCTAATGTATATATTATTAATGTTTATTTATTCTTTAGTTTTCGTAGTGTATGCTGGAGAGCTTTATTAGGAGTATTGCCTCAGCAAACAAGCCAATGGCTAGATACAATTAGAGAACAAAGAGAAAGATATGCTGGTCTAAAAAGTGAAATGATTTCAGATCCTCGACAAAATAAAATTTTGGATGATGACCCATTATCTAGAAACGATGAGGTAAAGTTATTATTTTTTCTTGCAAAATGTGTATCATTATAGCATTTTATTCATAGATATTTTTTGGCTTTAGAGTCTTTGGAATAAACATTTTTGTGACCAGGAGCTAATAGGTGTTATAAAACAAGATGTTGTTAGAACTTTTCCAGGAGTTGACTTTTTCCGGAGAGAAGATATTCAGAATATTATGGTATGATCATGATATTAATATTAATTTGTCTCTTAATTATGCAATATAAATAATAATAATAATGTAAAATATAATTCTACTATAATATTTTTAGATATCTATATTGTTTTGTTATGCAAGAGAACATCCTGATATGTGTTGTCTCTTAATTATGCATTATAAATAATAATAATAATGTAAAATATAATTCTACTATAATTTTTTTAGATATCTATATTGTTTTGTTATGCAAGAGAACATCCTGATATGTGTTATAGACAAGGAATGCATGAAATTTTAGCACCTTTGTTATTTGTTCTATATAGTGATCATCAGTCAATGTTACATGTAAAAGATCAGGCACTGATTAAGTAAGTTATATAAATTATATACATGTTTAAATTTTAATAACTTTTTTATTTTTGCAGCGATGTTATAATAGAAATTTTAAATCCACAATATCTAGAAGCAGATTCATTGTAAGTATTATATTCATATAATAATGTGAATTGGTATGGAATATCATAAATTAAATATTATTATTCATATATAATATTAGATTATTTCTAATTATTTTTTATGTAATTTTAGCACATTATTTACACACATTATGTCTAGTATAGAATGCTGCTACAGAATTCACGATATGATCCCAACAACTGGGGGATACTTTCCATTGGTTACTAAAATCCAGTCTGATGTGAGTTTATTCAGTTATTGTATATTATTAATAATATAATTAATAACAATATATTTATTTGTACAAGATATGTTTATACCTCTTAAAATAATGTACATATATGACTACTAAAACTATATATTAAATTTCCTGTTGATCTTCCTATTGGAAATCAATACTGCTATGATACTCATGGCTTTTAAAAATGATAAGTCTTTATTTTGTTATTACTTTATTAATTTCTTCAGGAAGTCCAAGACTATCGACCTGAAAATGAAGTTGTGACGCAATTAAATTGGATTCGAATAAATTTACTTTCTAAATATGATCCTGAACTTAAGCAACATCTTGAGAAGCTAGACATACCACTTCCTCTGTTTGGCATGTATGCAGAAATTACAATATTTTAAACTTGTATCTTTTAATATTTATTTATGCATATTTATTTTTAGACGGTGGTTGAGATTGCTCTTTGGAAGAGAATTTGCACTCTTAGATCTTCTTGTTTGTGGGATGCCATATTTGCAGAAGGAGATAATTTTGGGCTTGTAAATTTTATTGTTGTAGCTATGCTTATGGCCATTCGTGATGAATGTGAGAATATTTATAAATGTAATTTTTATGCATATTTTATTTAAATTTTCTGTTTTTTTTTCAGTGTTAGTAGCAGATTACACTACTTGTTTAACATTATTAATGCGATATCCACCGGCTGTTGATATAACATATATTATTGAGCATGCACTACATTTAATGCATCCAAAGGTAATTTTAAAATACACTTGTTTTAAAAAAAAACTATATATAAAATATTGCAACACAAAAATTATTTCATCACATTCCTATTTCTTTTTAAAAAATATTATGGTACAGAACTTTGTTTTTCTGTTCGATGCTAATTCGATTTAAAAAATTTCTTAATTTTAATAATTTTTCAATTTAGTATCTGCATCTGGTATATATTGAATTTTTTTAATAATGTTCTAGCTCTACGCTTTGCCCACGGCTACTTCTTATATAACCCTGCCAACAACTATGAGTCAAACACCAACAACAATAGTAAATAAAGAAACCATTGCGAGTATAAGGCGAAATTCCTTATTCGACAGAACTTCGTCTACAAGGAGGTAAATATTTTATAGAATTAAATTCCTGAATAATGTTTTTGCTTAAATATACTGAGTAAAAAACACATAGATATATAATTTATTTGCTAATATCAATCCTAGTTACGAGATATAAATAGATCTATGTGATAAAATAAATGTATGAACTCATATATGCTAAAATGCTCTTGATATTCGCTAAAGTCCACTTTGAAAATTTTGGTTATGTATAACGAAAGTAATTTTATGTTTTTGTTTTATTGTTATTTTATATACCATAAATTGCAAAATATGATGAACAATTACCATAAAGCTTGCTTTTAGGTAGTAAATTTTCTCAATAAAAACTAATTGCAAAATTGTTTTTGCAAGTAAAGTTATTTTATGTAAAATATAAATCTTCATATTAACTTCCTATTGCAGCATATGAACTAGTATATAAAAATTTATTGATCATCTATCTCTTTATATTTCAAATAACTTTTGTAATTAACATGAAACTTCTTCTTTAGGAATAATAGCACTACTGGTGATCAAAAAGGGGTTCTCGATGGTTTCTCAATAGAGGTGACTGCTACTGTAATTGTTATTTTATGTTTCAAGATTTAAATTCTAATCTCTAATTTTGTTTAGGAATACAATAGTGTTCGATCTGAGCTTCAACACGCTTATTCAGTTATGTCATTGAGTAGAATTAAATTATTACAGTATTTATCAATTTTAAGAAAAAATTTACCATCTGGTTCTTCTCGGGAGGCAGTTCAGGCTTTGGATGGCATACAAGAGGTAAATCTTAGAATCTAAACTAACATTCTTAAATATTAATAGTCTGTGAAAATTGGTTGAATAAAAACAATGCATTAAAGTTTGGAATAATGGGCTGCGCATTTAGGACATACAAGCGCGTGTTTGTGCTCTACAATAAATATAATTACATACATATATTATAACTCTGAAAGATATCAATTGGAACTCGCAACCTGTTTTTTGAAATAGACATAAATTTTATCTAATTAGCTTGATCAAGTAGATTATTTACATGTATCGGGAAATTCATGCAACTTGCCTTAAGGCAAAATGCCACTTACACTTAGCATCTTCGTTTCAGTTATGTTCATTGTTAAAACATAGCAATAATAGCATGGGCAGCTCATTAAGCGATTCCTATATCGAACGCGCTTATGAAGCAGACGAAAAATATGTCAGGGCAATGGCGCAAAAGGATCGCAATACTTCTTCCCCATCAAAGTCTTCTTCAAAGTCGGTTTTCTATGTTGAACATGGATCGACTAGTCCTGTGAAGCAAAACTCCTCCAAATCTCCTCATAGGATTCCACAGAAAGCGGAAGTTCCAATGAAAATATTTAATGAGCATCTGGCTGTGAAATATGAAAACACCAAAGGTGTACCACTCGAAGATCCAACAGGATTAAGGCGAGTTGATTAAATACTTATTTCATTCATATTTAATTTGATTATTCGATCTTAGCCGTAAATTTTAGGCCCAGAAAATGTATGCAGAGCACATCTCGTGAGTGGTTCTAAAGCATAAAATTAATGATAGCGTGATATTAATTTTATTATTTTACTAAATATGAGTTGAGTTTAAAGATCGCGCATTACTTACATCAATAAAAATTGTCTAAAGGGTTTATAAGTTTATTTGCAGTGCAAAATAACTATAATAATTAAAAATATGTTAATAATTTATAACGATTTAAGTAAAGTAAAAATTATAGTTATTTCCATTGAATGAGGGGTAGAGTGTTAGCCAGCAACAGGAATATCAAATAAAATTATAAACAATTTATACATCTTTTATTGGTGTAACGTTCATCTTTGAACTCAACCCATATTATGTATATATATATATATATATATATATATATATATATATATATAAATGAGTATATGTGAGTGAAAAGTTCAATACGCAGAGCCAAAAATTGAGTAAATACTTTATTTTAAATTAAAGCAATAGATAGACCGAGCATTAAGTACAAACTTGAACATAATGATTTAATCCTTTTGACAAAAAATTATTTGCTGAAAACTGTAAAACACATTATCATTGGAATGTTTTCTGATGAACACAATACAGCATTAACAATGGCCTTTATTTTATTTTAACACTTCAATATACTTTCTAAGTAAATTTTTATTTTTTTATGAAATATCTTTTTTAGCATTTTTTTACTGTAAGTTTGAAATATATTGACTAATCAAATGTGTCGCGATTATTGTGCCAAATATAACTTTATGGCATTAATGCTCTAAATAATTTAGCGGATTTAAACAATATTCATATATGAGGATAGTTTAGCATAATGTAATAATGGTTGTAAATCGAATGCAAAGAGTAATTATAATTGCATTTATGTAAATTTTGGACAAAAATAGTTTAAGGTCTTATTTTAAGCTTAGTAACGTAAGAAAATACCAAATAATCTAGCATATATATATATATATATATATATATATATATATATATATATTAAACGGACAGTATTTTTGAAGTATAACTTTCTCTATTCAAATTTAGTCATCACTAAGTCTGGTTTTACAATAATTATACGCAGATGACATTTTAAAGTTCATATGAGAAAACTTGTTTAAGATTATTAACATTTATTTGATTTTGGAATTTTCAGGTCCGGTTTATAAAAAAATCGTAATAACTTACACATAATATCTAATGATTACAGCGTAAATTAAAATAATGTTTTATACAGTTTCTTTATTTAGAAAAATATTTATAATAATAATATAATAATATCTTATAAATACATTTTTATAAGAAAAAAGTCCTTCAAGTTATATTAATATCTGAAACGTCCAAAACCAATTTTAAAATCCTTCAAATATCGCCTTTGGTAATTCCGAAATATGTGATATATTTATATATAAAATAGAGACACACGATAATAAGATTATGTAAATATACAGAATACATTTGAATTACATTAAAATATCTTTTTTGGTTTTAATTTTATGCAGGTATAGTGTCATATTCTGAAGCATAAACTACTCTTAATGTATTAGTGAATCCTGCTCCTTGTCTACATCCATGAACCATTAATACTGCATCTCCAGCTCTAATGAATCCGCTAACTTTTCCATAACTTATCCCATATTGTAATCGAATGTTAACGTCTTTCATCCAATCTTCGAGCATACCATCTGATTAAATATATTTTATTGAGACCTTTATGTTATTGACAAAATAATATATTTAACTTTGTCCATAGAAATGATTGAAATTGCAACAAGTCGTTTAAGCGTAACATTTGTGTATATTTATTATGTAGTAGTAGTATTTATAGATGGTCGACCAACCAATCTTAATGCTTTAAAAAAATTTGCGAAGAAAGTGTTGTTGGATAAAAGGTTTCGTTAATATCTATTTCAAAAAATGGTAAATTCCAAATAATCAAAAATTAACGATGTTTACGACCAGAGCAAAATCAAACTAGATGTAAGGGTAAGTGCAAATAATCGATTTAGGTATTGGAATTTAATCATTTTTAAAATTGTTATTTTTTTTTACCAAATCCTATTCCTAACTGATATCTTTCGAACAGTTTAAATATTCACCTGTTCAGGATTTTTCGCAAAAACGATGAAAACGTTTTTTCACTACTCTAGTGATTCTAAAGAAATGGTTTGACTAAATTTGTAATCTAATTATTTTTAGAGTTAAACTTGATGGCTTTTTAGGATTCCAAAATTTAATGAACTCACAAATGTACTGAAGTGGTTTTACTCCTCTGTATAACTGCAGTTGTCTAGCCACCCTTCCATGTCTTGTAACAGCCACAATCGGACATCTAGGTGCATAATGTGATAGAAGCTTTGCTGATCTTCCAGAAGTTGTTAACACGATAATTGCTTGAGCATTGCATTTTATTGATGTTTCTACTGCGCCTATTGCAATTGATTCTGCTGGACCATTTGGCGGAATAGCCTATTCAGCGAAAGAAAAACTTACATTCAATTATCAAGGGAATATAATTATCTAAGCAATTATTGCATACTAAATATATTGTGGTATTTAGATGAGCTTGATGGTTGTTGTATTTCAATGAAATGGTGGTCTAAATCACTTGTCTGCTTAAGCTATTGGTAAGCTTATTCTAGTTAACAATATATATATCGAAACTAATTATTATTTTTTACTGATTTTAGATTTCTTTGAATATTCTTACCCTGACGTTACGGTCTCCGTACATCTGGGTCTGCCAAACAGATAATTCGGACTGCCTACAAACTTTGTCCAATAATAGGACGCTGTTGATTGGATTGCTGCCTAATGCTGTTTCTCCTGCCAACATGACGCAGTCGGCGCCGTCGATTATTGTGCTGTGAGCATCAGCTATGGCTCGGCTGCTTACTGTTACGGTTGTACCAGCATGTGCTGTATGTACCTCGCAGACACAAGGCTTGGAGGCCTGATAAATGGAGTACGTACATTAGTCAGGTATGTTGTTTTAACACTATAGTCATACCAAGACTTAATATATACCTAATTCTACCATAGCGGGTCAAATGACCCGACTCTATATTTCATGCTTGAATGTATGAAATATGGATGTTAGGAAGAAAATAAAAATAAAAATTAAATTAATTAAGCAAAAAAGTATGTTGAGCATTTCTATTACAAAAGCAGAAATTAAAAAAAAATTCATAGTTAATCGCATTTTTTACATATAATTGTGTCCATTGTACATTTTCCGCAAACATATTTTTTACATTTACTTAGAGCAAATTTTGTTGGTTTTGTTTTCTTTACAGTATCTTATTTGACATCTCATAAGTTTATAAGCATCTGTAGTAGACTTAGGCAACGATACTTTCGTATTTGTTTCTTGTTTTGGTTGTTCACGGACTTCTCGAAAATCGGCGCCAAGTTCTTCTGATAGCTTGAGTAAAAAATCTTTTCGCGAGATATTTTCTCCTGTCGTTTGCTTGTACAAAATCCAGTCATTTATGCCAGCTAAATCAAGGATATTGAAAAAAACTTGGAGAGGCCATCTGCAAGACTTGGATTTTTTTTAGTAAATTTCCTCGCCATTTGATCGGTAATGTCTACACCAAATTTGGTTTTATTGTAATATGAAATAGTTTCAGGTAAACGTTTATCATTTTGTTCTTCATCGTCAGTATCTGTTGAATCAGACTCATTTTTATTTTCAACCAATATATCTTCATTTTCAGAAAATTCATCTTCACTAATTTCTGAAAACTCTTTGCCAATATTATTTATATCTTCTAAGAACTTGTAATGTCTTGTTTGCTTCGACATTTTTCTGGGTAAATAATAAAAGGTACTTACCAAGACTTTCAATTTCTGCCACTTTTTCTAACAATAAAAAGCTATTTTCAATCTAAAATTTGATATTTTCTTGAAATTATTCTGAGCTATTTTCGTTGAACTACTTTGCGCAACAGTGTTTAGAAGAATGTGCAACTTACTGACTACAAATATGACTCGACAATCTCATAAATCAAAAAATTCTCTCCCATTGTGGTAGATATCGGTATACAAGAAGGATTATTCAGAATAAACAAAACAAAACAAGAAAAAAAAATTGTTTATAACTCTTCTTTAATTACTTAAAAAAAGTCATGAAGTCAAATGTGCAAACGCAATGAAATTATACGTGCATTTTCAATGCAAAAGTTCAAAATGAGTCATTTGACCCGTTATGGTATGTTTAGTGTTAAGTATGAATGAGATCTGAACGTAAAAAAAAATATATGCAATTCGTGTTTATAAGTATCATCTATGAATTTATTGTGTACCAGTATGCAACGCCCAAGAACGTATTTTTGCGCCAGGCACACATTTTCTACTGGCATCTCTGTAGCCATGTCGTGCTTGGAGAACATTATAGCATCAGCTTCTTCCAGAATTTCTTCTAAATTTTCTAACCCTTGAAGTGTTTCGATCTTGGCAATCATTTGGATGTACTGACCTTCTTCTCCCAGCTCAGCTCTATACTGTTTTATCTGATCTGCAAATCTTACGCGCTTTACTATTACGAAATCCACCTAAAAATCGTAAAATAAACAAAAATAGTCAAGCATGAGAATCATTTTTATATGAAAATAATTTCAGCTAATTCAATAACTTATTAGTAAGAAAATTCATTCTCAAGAGAACATACTTCATATTTGACCGCAAAGAGTAGATCAAGCTTTGTTTGGTTGGACAATGTAGTTGTTTCAATTGGAACTTCTGGCAAAGTGACCTTGCGATCGTTTCCTAAATTACCACCGGATAGAACTTTGCATGTCATATCAGTAGGGCCTATCGATAAATACAAATAAATTCATTAGCAGAGCATTTGATAATTATTTAAAATATGTTAATTGATACCTATTAGCTACCGATTAAGGCTGAAATAACTTACTCTACTAAAAATTGAAAATTACTCAATGTGAAATTAAAATAGTTTCTAAAATATTTCTATTATTATTCAAATTAAATAAAATTTATTGCTTAACATATCGGGATTACTATAACAGCTTCAAATTATTTACACAATCAGTATCATCTTTGAGTTATATATTGAATGCAGATTCTTGTCTATATTTGTTTTGATGAAAATATGTGTAGTTTGAAGAGTTATTCAAAATTTCAGAGACTGAAAATACAGCAATTTTAAAATAATTTGCGGTGTGGAATTATATTATTATAAAATTATATTTTTTCTAACAAAGTCCATTTTAGAACAATTTGACTAAACTATTGGACCACAAATAAAGTATGTTTCAAATATCAAATTATTCGTACAAATCGAGTGACTTCTGTATTAATTAGCCGGTTTGTAACCTGGTCAAAATTTAGTACTTGACTACTCGAATTTATTACCTATATCCAAAACTCGTAGAATAATTTCGCCATTATCAATCACGATTCGATTGCCAGGTTTAACTGTTTCTCGCAAATGTTCACAACTTAAATAAATCAAGTCACTGCCGCAACTGGCATAAAATGCAGGGTCGCAGGTAATGCGCACCGAGCTACCCTCCTCAATTGGAACTGCGTTCATGTGCTAAAAACAAAAAAAATCAGGACTGTATATTATTTAATAACAAATCTAAAATAGAATTGCTATCCTAGAAGGAGTTACAGTATATACATATATATGAACAAATTTTAATTATAAGAATGAAACTTTTCGGTTAGTTATGAATGGAGGCTAGAACTTCTGTCAAAACGTATGGATTTTTATAAACTTATACATACTAGTTGATGAGTTACTAATATGTATAAGAATGACACATAATTCAGCTTAAATCTAGTTAAGTTTTATATATAAATATAATTGTGCTCAGACCAAAAAGTATTAATCGATGGGCATGGAGAAGAAATGATAACCAAAAACCAGATTTAAAACTATTAACAATATTTCAGTTTAGTAGTTTCGATGCCAAAGTTACAAAACGAGGCAACAACTAATAAAGAATTTCAGTCGTTAATAAGTTTAAGCAAATCAATGAATACCTAAGATCTGCGCGAGGTTAGATTTATCAATAGATTTATAGTATTATAAATGAATTAAATATCTAATTCTTATTTTTAATAAGACGTTTACATTTGCAAGTTGACCCGTTCTGACTTCCGAGCCACGTGGTTCTATTGCGATTCCCAGAGTCATGAGCATCCCTTGCCGCGTACTGTAATTGTTGTTAGACATCCTTAGTGAATTTAATTCCTAAAAAATATAGGAAGAATATAAGTTACAATATGATTCTATCAGGAAGTTATAATATTAACATGCTGATGTATTGGCTTAGATAGATTCGCATTGAAAGAGTTCATTATTGATATAACACAATATTTTTTTCTCCAATTGTCTGCGTCTATTCTTATTCTTATTTGAATTATTCTTAATTAAGAGAATTTGATTATTCTCTTTTGAAAGCAAGCTTTTTGACTAAACGTCTGGATGTAAAATAATTATAAATAATTTTAACATGATACAGTAATTTGAACGAACAATTTCAAATCGAGAGTATGTTATATGATTTCGATAAAATTGAAGATTTAAAATTAGATCCAATCTAATAAATGAATAAATGAATATATTACACCTAAGTCTGTTTTTACACGGAGATTGGTTCCAGAAGAAGCCGTGTAAAAAAAAAACGTGTAAAAAAGACATTAATCTTATACAAAAATGGGTGATTTGTCCTAGTCTCTAACACCTATTAAAATTAGTGAAAAACAAGAATTTTCAAGAACAAGAATTCATGTTTATTTTAATAATAATTCCCCTAAATTAGTGCTATTCACATTTGCTTTGACCAGTAAAAATTGTTTGTACGCACTAAAGGAGAATTTACTTAAATCTTTAAGCTAGTGTTCGCAAACTATCGATACTATCGATGGTTTCAGATTTTTTTCTTTCATAAATACTTTTTTGTGATATGAACATTCTTCGCAAAAATTAAATTTGACAAAAAAATTTAAGTACATAAAATTTCAAATCGTGCTAAATGGAATAAAATCGTGTAAAAAAATTAAAAATATTCAATTTTTAAACCGTGTTATATCAAAACCGTGTACAAAAAGACCGTGTAAAAACAGACTTAGGTGTATTTTATTATTGGTGAACTAAAATTTGATTTTCGTTAATAAAATTTACAAATCTCAGTGTTAGAAAATTTTTAATATAAATTTATTTAATTTAAACCTATTTTAGATTCTTACTTGTCTGTGGTGCTCTAAATCGCCGTGCACCATATTAATCCTAGCTATTGTCATTCCAAGCTCTAACATGGTTTCAATTTGTTGCGGCATTTCAGAGTTGGGACCTTATTAGATTTATAATTAGCAATTAAAATTATCTAAAATGAAAATAAAAATACATAAAAAATATCCCACGAAAATAAATTACCAATAGTGCACATGATTTGAGTAATTCTACTATTTTTAAGATCGCAGTCATATTTCATATTACTCATATGCTCAATATGAGATTGGGCATTTGTAGATTTTATTTGAGACTTTCTAATAGCATCTACTGCAACGTCCTAAAAATGTAATAAATTATTATTATTGTTACAAAATAATGAGAACTATCAGATATATAATATACTACCAGATAACTCAATATGAATGAATTATGTACATAAGGCTAATAAATTAAAATGACAAAAGTATATATTTAAAAATTATGCGTTTACTGGCTTATGCGTTTAATGACTTTTTTACTTATAATGAATCTCCACGGATATCGAATATCATTAAATTATAAATTTTTGAACAAAATTATTGTTTTAACAATGTTATAATATAAATATTATTTTTACTAAAGACAAGTAGTGAAATAAAAGCTGAGATTAAAAGTTAATGGATAAAATTGTAAGATAGAAAAAAAAATCTTATTCAGTATTTTATTTATGTCTATTTGAATGTCTTGATATGTAATATCAAAATATTTGACCAATTCACAGTACAAGTATTTACATTATTTAATGTACCCTCCCGCCGTACATGAATCAGTTTTGAAACTGTTATAATATTAAGTATATTGATTAATTGTTTTTTTATAAAAGTATCAGTTTATTATATTGTGGACGAATTCTTACCCAAGGCAAAATATACTCCTGATCTGCCCATTTCTCCATTTTGAAATTTAGAAAGACTAAAAATTTATAGAAAATCACAAAAGTACAAAATTAGAATTTAAAGTATAAAAAATATAATTTACATGACGGAAAATTCAATTGTTTTCAAAAAATCTAGCTGAGTACTAGTCTATTTAACTTATTTTAATAAGAAATATTTTTTTCCAAGAAAAAGTAGAACGTGTAATTTAAAGCTGGCACATCATCATACCTCGCACAATTTTTTCATATTAACTTAAATAAGCAATCAAATGAGTCAATTATTTTTACAGATCTGGGCAACATCGGATCACAAGTTCTCACAAAATTGGAACTAATAGGCTCTTATAAGTATAATTTTTACTGAAATTTAGTCGGAACCTGTTTTGCAGTTCCTATCTCGATAACAAATTAATATCTCGATAATATATACTTATTGGTAAAAAATAATAAATATTAGTATTCACTCCGTGGGAATTAATGGCACAATAAATGTAGTTCGACGTAAATGTACGCTACTTTGCAAGACAAAATTGATCACCTAAAAGAAGAGTTAGTTCGGCAAACGACAGTAGTATTGTTTTCCTCGCGCCCGGAATTTAAAATACAAGATGAAATAGTGGCGTCGAACGTGTTTTATTAGTCATGGTAAGGGTTATATAAAATATTTAAAAATAAAACTCATATTAATTCATTTATAAACATAATTATATGCAGATTTAACTTTATGTTTATGCAAAAAAGAATAACGATTTTATTCTATTGTAGTTGTTTCTCTGAGGAAGATGAGAATAATGAATGACAAAGTAGTGGTAGGAGCAAGAGCCTCAAAAATGAGTAAAAAAAATAGAGTGAAAATGTTTTTATTAATTATATTTTTTATCTACTAATTTAAAATTAAAAATTAAAATTAGAGACATATACGGGAGAAAGAAAAAAAAAGTGAACTATCAACTTGGACAAGTCTACGATCAGAGCATTGATTGTCCAGTGATTGCTCAACTGAGACGAAGCATAAAGACTTTATGCATGTATGCCAATCTATTAATATAAAATGGAATGGATTTAAGATTGTTTTGGTAAACCCTTTTCTAAATTCTGTAGTTTCATGTTATACACGTAGCTTGTTGAGTCTCCTTACTTACCTCACGTAGTGAACGTTTGTCACTTTGACTTCGGTATCAATGGCAAACGATACAAAATATACGACGTACGAGGCGCGGAAAAAGCCGCGGCGACCCAAAAATACGGATTCGGAAAATTCATATACCAACAAGATCACGTAAAACCATATCCTTCAAATGTTTTGCATTTCACTATAAATTTCTAAATGGTAGTTTTTTCCCCTCGAAGGTAAAATTAATATTTATTCGACGAAAAAATGGATTCCATCATATATCATATTATATGGTACTTTTTTTAATATTCTATTCTACAATATATTTCTGCAGTTGTTTTTCATCTAATTTTATTATTCAGGAATACTCATAGTAAAGGACAATAAAAACACTTACGTATTATATGAAACCTATTTATAAAAAATATAAAAAAACAAATATAAAAAAATTTAAAATCTTATGACTTCGGTAGGTAGGGGAGACTGGGTACGAGTGTACCAGGGTACGAAAGTGACAATTGCCATAGCAGTTAACTATACTGATTTTGTCATAGGGCCTAAAGGGCGAAAGACTTAAAATATTTGTTCGAACATTTTCCCATTATTGTATTCGATTTCTTTTAACTGTTTCTTGTGCACAATAAGATCACTTTGTTTGTTATTTTTCTGTAAGTTGAACATTAGTTAGTTACTTACCAGCAATTAGTTTCTGCGTAGATTATTTGATCAGACATAACGATGATTTGTTTTTAAAAATGTACGCTGGGTTCGGTTGTGACGTGTGGCTTTTATTCGATACTTGATTTGATTTGATTTTTTTCTATTTTGGTCTCAAACTATTCAGATTGACTTCGAATTTTCTGGCGTGTTATATGCTGGTCTTTCTGTCCAGATATTTTGCTCTCGACTTCAAATTATGAATTTGGCGCAAACATAGGGGTAAATCAACAAGTGCCTTTGTTTATTAATTTCAATATTTGATTGTGTTTTAAAAATACTTGAAATACTTTAGAAGTTACTGCATGTTTTACAAATTTCATAAATATTAAACCGCAAATAAGCTTTAACTTTATAGAAGGAACATCTGTTGGATTCTCTCACATTTACATTATGTTTTCATTATAAAAGACTTGAAAGCATCTATGCAGATATGATAAGCAAGCGTTCCTGGTGCTCCCTCGTACTATCGTATAATAATATAAACAAGTTTTGTGCTATGGCTGGACCAAACACAAACGAAACTGCATAACTTTGGATTCTATGAGATTTCTTCTCAATAATTTTGTTTTGGAATAGTTCGGAAGTTGAAAACTTTCAAAAATATCCTAGGAATTTTGAAATATTTCTCAATGCGGATCTTATAGAAGGAACTTTCGAGATGCGTTTTGAAATGCGAGCATTGGATTTTAAAACGATTCGTATTCCGATGTTGGTATTTACACTTACTTCTGAAATGCCCTCAAAGCACTTTGCAAAAGTATCTACAACTCGGTTAACAACTTAGTACAGATTCAATTCAGGAATTTTACATATATTTATATCGGAAGCATTGTGTATAGGTATGTACTTATGTATAAGTTGTGTATCGTTGGAAGTATTATGTATAATAAGCACATTATCATTTAGCAATGCAAACAATGTAAAATTAATCCAAAAATTACTTGTTCCTGTGAACTTCAAATTTTTGTACACTTGTATTTATTTATTAAGAAGTGCAAAAATCAAATTGCTAGGCGATTTCAACCTGCACAAGTACTTGTCAGGCAAGCTAAAGGGTTCACTTTTATGAGCAGATGTATGCATTAAAATAAACTTTGTCCTATAAGGTTAAGAATTATATATGGTATCATATTTACATATTTACAAATAAGTTTATGGCCGAAATTGATTTAATTAATTACAATAAATATACATTTTACTTTTCAAATTAAAATTCATCATCAGATATACCGACACGGTTTATTAAACCATATTATTTTTATAGCTAAAATAATAAATTCTATTTATTTATTGATATCTGAAAGAGTTATTGGTTCCTATGGTATAAGTTTGTTTTATTATACGTATTGCTCTAAATTTTCCACATAAATCAAAATCCATTTGGTCGTTCAACTCGTTGTAATATTCCATTTCGTCGTTTATCTTAGAGACGTTTGTGTTTTGACATATCTTGGCAATAGTTGCGATCGTGTTATGTACGAAGCGGGCGTTAAACGCACTAAAATGTAATCTTCTGTGAATTCCCAAAGCGGAATAAAAATAAAATGACAATAGCCAATCTTGGTCCGCGACCGAAGTTTTAGAGCTTTTCCTCTTTTGAACTTTCGACCATAGAGAATATGCGCATTCTCGCTTGATTGAATCCGCATTACCGATGCTGCTGTTTTGTGTCCATGGCACTTTTATGCAAAATCGAACTTGGAACGGAATCTTGTTGGCTTAGGACAGAATAAGAATGACGATGTTTCGCAGCGGACTTTCGTGCTATTTTATATTAGTAACTTTTATTGGAAACAATAACTTTACAGTCAACAAATGCAGTCTATTTAACTTTCCGATAGGAAAAGATATTATGTTTTTTATTGCAGTTATGCAATATATATACAGGGCCGGTCCTACTTCGAATGCAATGCATGCAAAAAATGCGGGCGCACGCCTTAGGGGGCGCCAAAACGAGATTTGGATATAAAATTTATAATATAGTTTTTTCAATATCATTCAAGAAACATATACTTTTTTGCATCTTTTACTAATATATGGAAAATATTTTTAAAATACGTTAAAAATTTCACTTTAGAACAACAAATGGCAAAATAAATACATACAACTCGTCCCTTACGATATCAATTAGGAGAAGTTTACGTTACAATTTTGGATATTTTAAATAACGAAAACATTATGAACCAGTGGTGTTGTCGAGCCGGAACGCGCCGGAACGTCGTTTAATAAGTGAATTTTATAAACCATATAATTTAACTAATTTTTATTAAACGTTTCTATTATTGTAATAAACATACATATATGTGCACAAAATGGATTTTGAAATGATTTTTCTTTCTTTCCTTTTCGAACGGAACCGGAACAAACATGGAAACCGGTTTTCCAATTTTAGCGTTCCGGCAAAAAAAATATTAGCACAACACCACTGTTAAGAACCAGTGATCTCTGATTTCAAAACCCAAATATGAATATTACGCATGTGTTAGAAATAATTAAAAATTTAAGAATATTCTTACAAGCAATAAATAACATATTGAAATTTTCGGATGTGTTGAAAAGTTTGGATTGAAAATAAAAATTTAAAAATATAGAAGACACAAAAATTTTATTATGAGCACCCGCGAATTGCCCCGATCTTGTAAATAATTTTAAAATCAATGTAATTTTGCGCTTTTAGTTTACATATATCTAATTTTTTGTGTACTAAACACGGAATTATTAAAAAGTATAGATGAATGTAAATTTTTGTATAATTTTGATGATGAACTGTTAAAAAAGTTAAAATAATGGGGGGAGGGGGGTCGCTAGAAAAATAATGGCATGCGGGCACTGAGGACCCCAGGACCGGCACTGTATATATATATATATATATATATATATATATTTATATATATAAATTTCTAGTACAATTCTATCTTGTTCACTCCGGATAATTAAGTTGAATTTTGCCTATCACGCTTTTTTTCATGAAAAATTAAATTGATATCAAGAAATGTAAATACGTGCTAGTTTTTTTTAAAACAAATACAAGGGTAAATTATGTTCTGGTAAAAAACAATATTATTTTCCAAAATTGTTTATTTATTTTCCAATAGATTTCTAGCGTCCTTCATATAATTATATTAAAAAGAATAAACAATGAACCGAAACAAACCGGCTTGTTTTTTCGAACAGTGAACCGGAG